TATATTTATGTGATCATTATTTTTTTTAATAATTAACGAATGGTATAAAAACAAATACAAATCAACATGTATATTTAGGTACATTACTTTTGAAACAACAAAAAAAGTTACAGTGTGTTTGTTAGAATGACGTTACTTTGAATTAGTGTGTTGGCTTCCAAAACTATGCAAAATTCAAAAGGTTTTGATTTTTGACTTTTGACTTTTGATATATAACTTTTGCCTCTCAAAATAGTTTTGACTACTTTGAGTTAAATCAATCCAATACATACTAGAAATAGCTTTCTTGATATATTACCTTTTTACATGTTATAAGAAATTAAGGTATAGCAAGTATTTGCAGAGTAAGGTTGCCAATGATAAATCACAGTTAGGAAATTAATTTGATCTCCTTTTGGGTGATTTCCTGCAGAAACTTAATTAGTAAAGAATCGATTTTTGGTATGGTATGATTTATATTAAATTTATTTACACTTTATGAATTTAAAGAGATTACATTCATGAACATGAGAACACTGAAGAACAATTGTAACTAAATTCTTCAAGTGCTACAGCTTTGAGATCCCAAAATGGAGATCTTTCATGGAAATGAAGGAACTGGTTATAAATGAGGAGGGATCTTATGTATATGAAGTGTTATCACCATTATTGAATATTGCAATCAGAGATCTACTGGTGAATATTGATATATGGGGCGTTTGGTTGGTGTAATTTCAACTTTTATTTTTTACAAGTTCAAGTTTATGAGATCTATTTATCAAACATTATAGGGAAGATAAGGCGAATTCAGCTAGTGCAGAGTGAAAAGGTTCTCCCAACAAGCATGATGAACTGATTACAGAGTTGTCACAAAAATAAAAGATAAAAAAGTCTAAATCAGGTACCTTGAAACTGGCCAACTAGATTCTGCTCTTAAGAAGCAATGGCAGGACAACAATAAGTTAAATCAGCTTTTGAAAGATGTTATTGAGATTTACAAATTTATCAAGAATGAGGGAGCATTCAGGAATTTGACAATGAAAACTATGCTGTTGATATTTACGATTAATGTTGCTGGTAATACTTAGCTAAAAATGCCACTTTTTTTGATATGTAATATTTAAGTAGTGTTTATGTAATTGTAATATCCTTTTGTAATCGTTAATGATATTTGTATTATATTTGTAATACTTTTCATAATAGTTTATGGATAGATTATAAAATATAATAAAAACATTGCAGAAAATAAAGAATCAAAATTGATTTGAAACATATTTGTAATTATTACAGTGGATATATTACATTGTGCAAACTTTAGTGAATTTTATTTAACATTTTAGTAATCAAATAATAATTTCTATATGCCCTATATTGAATTTCAATGACTTAAATTTGACAATACATAATACTTATTATTTAATAAAAGATTAAACTGTAAATTATTTTAAATATAATCTATTCTACCAATTCATATAACTATGAATATTTATATCTTGTGCCAATGTTGTTCCACTTTCAGAAATGATGTGTACATCAACAGTCATACAATCAAGAGCATGTAAATCAACCAATATAGTACTTCGCCATTCTGTCTGTTGAATTTTTGTAGCATTGTTATAAACAGTGCGGTCAATATTTTTTCTCACAAAGCAACAAACCATAATTCGAATGGACTCTGCCAAGTAGTTTTTAAGTGCAATACAAGAAAATTGATCTTCAAGCAAATTGGTCCCTTTTGACTTGCTTTAATTGTGGCTCAAAAATGCTGACAATATCATCTGTGCTAACAAAATTGCAAAGATGAGTTGAATTTGGAAGATTGTCCAGTGTTACACTATATGAAAAGTAATTTAAGTAATTCACAATTATTAATATGAATGTATGTAAATATTAATAAACATATGTATGTACAGATGTATTTGTGTTTATAATAATATTACTATGTAAAAATACATGTATGTGTCAACACATAGGGGTTTTATACATTACTTTTTCCATATCACCATTAACATGTATTAAAAAAAAATTATTTACCTATAGCGGTCTAAAAAATCAAATGCCATCTCAGTACATCTGTCATACAATCGCACTCTCCAAGTTGAGAACCATCCACAACCTTTTTTCTTAACATCACCAGCATCCATCTCAGTAATTTCAAGATATTTAGCACATTCTCTAGCCAATGCTAAGATTAGTTCTGGTGTTGGTTTACGTATATGGAGAAAAAGAACTTTTGATTCATTGATAAATAAAGTTGCAAGCCAAATATGTAAGTTATTATTTTAAGCTTAATTTGACAAAATTTCTTTGAAATACCCACATTACTTGAAGTCATGTTGCTTTGATTTCAATTCATGGGTGATGTGTTACTATTTTCTATTGAAGCAAGAGTGGATCCTGTGGTTGTTGAAAGTATGCTTGAAGTCATTGCT